CAGCTGGCCGTACACACCCCACAGCTGGCCATACACACCCCACAGCTGGTCATACACACCCCACAGCTGGCTGTACCCACCCCACAGCTGGCTGTACCCACCCCACAGCTGCCCCTATGTCCCATACCCACCCACCCCACAGCTGCACCCACAGAACCCTGACCATGGGTTGGGATCAGGGAGTTCTTTCCCTCTGCACTCGCCTGAGCAAGAGGGAAAGGGAGAAAGGGAAGGCAGGAGGTGTTTTCCAGGGGTTCCTCTGGAAACTTCCAGCACACACTGCAGGGCATCTGTGTCATGGGTGTGGGAACCCCATCCCTGCTCCTTTAATCTCCTTTAATCCCAGTTATTTTAATCCACACAGACCTGGGAATTCAGTGTGGGATTGGGGTGTTTCTTTTCTTTTTCACTCACTTGAGGAAGAGGGAAAGCAGGAGGTGTTTTCCCGGGGTTTCTCTGGAAACTTCCAGCGCACACCTTAAAACATACAGGAACATCTGGGAACCCCATCCCTGCTCCTGGAGCTGGGATTTAATCCTGCCTGTTTTCATCCACGCAAGGCTGGGAATTCTGGAGGTGTTTCCAGCTGTTCCACAAGCAGACCCCGAGTTTGGGTTGGGATTTGGAAAGGGAAACTGGGAAGGCAGGAGGTGTTTTCCAGGGTTCCAAGCAGACACCTCAGAGCATCCATGTCATGGGTGTGGGAACCCCATCCCTGCTCCTGGAGCTGCTTTCATCCTGGCTGATTTATCCACAGTAGAATTGGGAATTCTGGATGCGTTTCCAGCTGTTTTGTAAGGAGACCCCGAGTCTGGGTTGGGATTTGGGATTTTTTCTTTCCCTTTTGGCCAAAAGAAAACTGGGAAAGCAGGTGGTGTTTTCCAAGGCTTTCCCTTCCAACAGACATCTCTGAGCATCCAAACCCAGCTGGCTGTGTTGGCTCCCCGTTTTCCCAGGCAGCCCTTTGCTTTCCCAGGGTTTATCCTGGATCCTCCAGATCCCTGTGGAGCCTCTCCGAGCTGTCAGAGCAGTGTTTGAACCCCGAGCACTCCAGGGCTGGGAATCACGGAATGCCTGGGGAGGAACCTTACAGATCATCCGCCCCCAGCGCCAGGGCCGCCATCACCCATTCCAGACCCCCCAATCATCCCAGAACCGCCCTTTTCCCACTGCATCCCACCCAGTGTGTCCCCTCTGTCCCCCTGTCCCAGTTGTCCTGCACGGGAACAACCTGCTGGTGTTCGGGGGCACCGGGATCCCCTTCGGGGAGAGCAACGGCAACGACGTCCACGTCTGCAACGTCAAGTACAAGAGGTGGGCCCTGCTCAGCTGCAGGGGCAAGAAACCCAACAGGATCTATGGACAGGTGGGAAACAATGCCCTGGGCCTCCCACAGCCCTCCCCTCGTAGTTATCCCGACCTCCCGTAAATAAATCCTGGGAAATCCCTCGCCCAGAAAGAAAACGGGTCCAGGAGGTTCCAGGGGAAAAGGAAGGGTTGTCTTGGGGTCAGGAGGGGTAAATTGTGGGTCCTAAACAGCAGGAGTGGGGGATGGGAAGGGGGGGTGAGTTAAGGAGTGCTTGGGGCTCTCTGGAGTTGTTCTGGGACCTCAAAACTTTCCAGCCCCAAAACACTGAATGAAAACGGGGCGAAACTCCAAACTCCTACACGAAAACAGGGGTTTGGAGAGCTTGGTTTCCAAACTCTGCCTGGAAACAGGGGGGTCAGACCCCAGACTCTGCATGGAAACAGTGGGGTCAGACCCCAAACTCTGCCTGGAAACAGAGGATTTGGGTTTTATTTCCAAACCCAAAACTCTATGTGCAAACAGTGGGATTAGGTTTTATTTCCAATCCCCAAACTCCAAATAATAACAGGATTTAGGTTTTATTTCCAAACTCCAAATGCAAACAGTGGATTTAGGTTTTATTTCCAACCCCCAGACTCTGAATGCAAACAGTGGTTTGCAGATCAAACCCCAAACCTCCAAATTGAAAGAGTGGGGTTTTAGGTTTTAGTTTCCAACCCCAAAGCTCTGAATAAAAACAGGGATCAAAACTCTTGATGCAAACAGTGGGGTTCAGGTCTGGTTTTCAAAAGTCACAGCTGTAAATGCAAACAGTGGTTTGCAGGTCTGATTTCCAATCCCAAATCTCTGACTGAAAACAGGGGTTTGTAGGTTTTCTATCCAAACCCCAAAACTCTGAATGCAAACAGGAGTTTGTAGGTTTGGTTTTCGAAACTTAAAACTCTAAATGCAAACAGGGGTTTGCAGATCAAACCCCAAATCTCTGACTGAAAACAGGAGTTTGTAGGTTTTATTTCCAAATCCCAAAAGTCTAAATGCAAACAGCGGGTTTAGGGTTTATTTTCCAAACCCCAAAGCTCCAAATAATAATAATAATAATAATAATAATAATAATAATAATAGTGGAGGATTTCGGTTTTATTTGCAAGCCCCGAAATTCTAAATGCAAACAGGGGTTTTAGGTTTTATTTCCAAACTCCCAAACTGTAAATGCAAACAGGAGTTTTTTAGGTTTTATTTTCCAACCCCAAAGCTCCGAATGCAAACAGTGTGTAGGTTTGATTTTCAAAACTCCAGATTAAAGAAGTGGTTTTTCAGGTCTGATTTTCCAACCCCAAAGCTCTGACTGAAAACAGTGGCTTTATTTTCAACCCCCAAAACTCTAAATGACGAGTAGCTTTTTAGGTCTTATTTTTAATCCCCAAATTTCTTAAATAAAAACGGGGGTTTGCAGATCAACCCCAAAAGCTCTGAATGCAAACAGTGGGTTTAGGTTTTATTTTCCAAACCCCAAAACTCCAAATAATGGTAATAATAATAATGGAGGATTTAGGTTTTATTTGCAAACCCCAAAACTGTAAATGCAAACAGGGGTTTTAGGTTTTATTTTTCAAACCCCAAAGCTCTGAATGCAAACAGTGGCTTGTAGGTTTTACTGTCAGAACTTAAAACTCTGAATGCAGACAGGGGTTTGTAGATCAAACCCCAAAACTCTGAGTGAAAACAGTGGGGTTTGGGTCTTAACTTTCCAACCCCAAAACTCTGAATGAAGACAGTGGCTTGTAGGTCTTGTTTCCAAACCCCAAAACTCTGAAATGCAAACAGTGGTGTCAAACCCCAAACTTGGAATGAAAACAGAGGATTTGGGGGTTTATTTCCAAACCCCGAACTCCAAATGATAACAGTGGGTTTAGGTTTTGTTTCCAAATCCCAAATTCTGAATGCAAACAGGGGTTTGCAGATCAAACCTCCAAATTAAGAGTGGGGTTTTCAGGTCTGATTTTCTAGACCCCAAAGCTCTGAATGCAAACAGTGGGTTTATTTTCCAACCCCAGAACTCTAAATTAAAGCAGGTCAAAACTCTCAATGCAAACAGTGGGGTTCAGGTCTGATTGTCAGTCCCAAATCTCTGACTGAAAACAGGGGTTTGTAGGTTTTATATCCAAACCCCAAAACTCTAAATGCAAACAGTGGGTTTAGGGTTTGTTTTCCAAACCCCAAAGCTCCAAATAATAATAATAATAATAATAATAATAATAATAATAATAATAATAATAATAATAATAATAATGGAGGATTTGGGGTTTATTTGCAAACCCCAAAACTCTGAATGGAAACAATGGGGTTCAGTCTTATTTTTCAACCCCAAAACTCTGAATAAAGACGTTGCTTGGCGCATCAAACCCCACAAGTCTTCAAACAGAGGCTTTAGGTTTTATTACCAAACCCCAGAACTACAAATGCAAACAGGGATTTGTGGATCAAAACCCCCAACTCTGAATTCAAAGACTGGTTTGTCAGCTCTTATTTTCCAACCCCAAAACTCCAAATAATAACAGTGGGTTTAGGTTTTATTTCCAAACCCCAAACTCTGAATGCAAACAGTGGGTTTAGGTTTTATTTCCAAACCCCAAAGTTCCAAATAATAATAACAATAATAATGGAGGATTTAGGTTCTATCTCCAAACTCTACACTCTGAGTGCACACAGGGGTTTGTGGATCAAACCCCAAACCTCCAAATGAGAGGAGTGGTTTGTGTAACCCCAGAACTCTGAATGCAAACAGTGGGTTTATTTTCAAACCCCAAAACTCTCCATGAAAACAGTGGTCTTCAGACCAAACCCCCAAACTAAATGAAAACAGTGGGGTTTAGGTCTTTTATTTTTCAAACCCAAACTCTTAAAACAGTGGTTTGTAGGTTTTGTTTCCAAACCCAAAACCCTCAATGAAAACAGGGGGTTTGTAGGTTTGATCTTCAAACCTCAAAACTCTGAAATGCAAACAGTGGGGTTTATTTTCAGGGGGGTTGTAGATTTTATTTCCAGCCCCCAAAACTCTGAATGCAAACAGTGCTTTTAATTCCAAACCCCAAAACTCTGAATGCAAACAGTGCTTTTAATTCCAAACCCCAAAACTCTGAATGCAAACAGTGCTTTTAATTCCAAACCCCAAAACTCTTAAATGAAAACAACGAGCTTTAAGATCAAACCCCAAAACTCTGAATGCAAGCAGTGGGGTTTACTCTTATTTTTCTACCCCAAAACTCTGAGTGAAGGCAGTGCTTGGCACATCAAACCCCACAAGTCTTAAAACACAGGCTTTAGGTTTTATTTCCAAACCCCAAAACTAGAAATGAAAAGAGGGATTTGTGGACCAAAACCCCAAACTCTGAATTAAAAGACTGGTTTGTCAGGTCTTATTTTCCAACCCCAAAACTCCAAATAATAACAGTGGGTTTAGGTTTTATTTTCCAAACCACAAACTCTCAATGCAAACAGTGGTTTTGCAGATCAAACCCCAAAACTCTGAATGCAAACAGTGGGTTTAGGTTTTATTTTCCAAACCCCCAAACTCCAAATAACAATAATAATAATGGAGGATTTGGGTTTTATTTGCAAAGCCCAAAACTGTAAATGAAAACAGGGGTTTTAGGTTTTATTCCCAAACTCTGAATGCAAACAGGAGTTTTTTAGGTTTTATTTTCCAACCCCAAAGCTCCAAATGCAAATAGTGGCTTGAAGGTCTTGTTTCCAAACCCCAGAGCTCTGAAATGCAAACAGTGGTGTCAACCCCCAAACTCTGCCTGAAAACAGTGGTTTGATTTCCAAACCCCCAAACTCTGCATGAAAACAGGGATGTCCAGCCCCAAACTTGGAATGAAAACAGAGGATTTGGGGTTTATTTCCAACCCCCAAACTCGTAAAACATGCAAACAGTGGCTTGTAGGTTTTGTTTTCAAAACTTAAAACTCTAAATGCAAACAGGAGTTTGCAGATCAAACCCCAAATCTCTGACTGAAAACAGGGGTTTGCAGGTTTTATTTCCAAACCCCAAAATTTTGAATGCAAACAGTGGGTTTAGGTTTTATTTCCAAACCCCAAACTCTGAATGCAAACAGTGGTTTGCAGATCAAACCCCAGCACTCCAAATTAAAAGAGCGGGGTTTGTAGGTCTTATTTTCCAACCCCAAAACACTGAATGAGAACAGGGATCAAAACTCCAAACTCTCAAATGAAAACAGGGCTTTGGAGGGCTTAGTTTCAAAATTCTGAAAACAGTGGTGTCAGACCCCAAACTCTGCCTGAAAACAGAGGATTTGGGGTTTATTTCCAACTCCAAAACTCCAAATAATAACAGGATTTAGGTTTTATTTCCAAACCATAAAAACTCCAAATAATAACAGGATTTAGGTTTCATTCCCAAAGCCCAGAACTCCAAACAGGGCTTTGCAGATGGAACCCCCAAACCCTTCTTTGCAGCTCTTTATTTTTAAGCCCCAAACTTTTAAATACGAACTTTTAACTACAACAAAAAAAAAGGGGGGTTGGGGTCTTATTTCTCTTAAAAGAACAACTTGTAGGGCTGTCCTGGGTGAGGGTGGTGCCCAGGGAGTCCATCCCACAGCGTGCCTGTGGGGTGTTCACAGCAGGAAAAGGCCTCTCCCCTTTGCCAGGCCCCTGCTGGCCAGCGGGTGGGATTGGGAGCGGGCAATTCCCCGTTTTCCATCCCCTTCCCGCGGGCTGTGTGTCCCCAGGCCATGGCCATCATCAACGGGTGCCTCTACGTGTTCGGCGGCACCACCGGCTACATCTACAGCACCGACCTGCACCGGCTGGACCTCACCACGCGCGAGTGGGTGCAGCTCAAACCCAACAGCCTGTCCTGCGACATGCCCGAGGAGAGGTGAGTGCCCCCGCTCCCTGGGATACACTCCTGGGATACACTCCTGGGATCCACTCCTGGGATCCACTCCCTGGGATCCACTCCTGGGATCCACTCCTGGGATCCACTCCTGGGATACA